CTTCTTCTCCCTGTTTCATTTGCTTGTCTTCTTCGTCACCTGTACCTTTCTTTGCTCCTGCTTTCTGATTCGCCTCTCCAGTGTAAAGCAGCTCCCCCAGTATGAGTGTGCTGTGGGGCGTGTCGGCCGAGTGTGTGTGCTGGGTGTGTGTGTACAAGTAAACCCTCCAGGGGAGTGTGTGCGGCGGCGTGAAGGCCAGTGTCTGGATATTGACCAGCTGCATCGCTGCCTGAAGGCTTTGTGGGGAACAGTGAGGTATTGCGGGGCACTGGATATGTTCTTGCATGCACATATAATCCTCCTCCTCTTGAATCTTCTCAGGACCTAGCCACAACAAAACAAGCAAAGTCATTACCAGAGGCTTTTAAAAGTCAAGAAACACTGGGAACGTCCAGTGTTTCTCTACTTCATGAAACAGGGGCCTACAGAAATGGGAACTACCTCTTATTCACTAGATGAGACACATTTAACCCTAATCCCCTAATATATATAGAGCTCCAAAGTGTTCAATATTAAGTAAATAAATAATAAACAATATTACATTTTTTCCTCCTACAGGAAGTCTGTGTGTGCTCAGGGTTCTTGGTCATGAAACAAAACGAGAATCTCTTTCACTAAAGATTGACAGATTCACGGTTCAGGTGTAGCAAAACAAACAGGACACACTTGACATTTATCCCCTTCGGCTGATATTTAACACTGGTTTTAAGATTTCTAGTGATGGAGGAAGAATTCTGACCCTTTACTTATGCAAAAATACCACACTGTAGAAATACAAGTAATACTCCTATATTGAAAATGTCATTTGAATATATAAATATAATCAGGAGAATGTAGTAAAAGGAATAAAAGAAGAGAATAAAAGTAGATCACATGGAAAAATGGCATGTGTGGCTGTTATACTATTGTATATCATATCAGTATATCATTATTACTCATGCGTAAATGTGTAAGCAGTATTTTACAGTAACAGCTGGTTAAGGCGGCTGTATTTCTCTAGACTGTTGGGTAGTTTAATCTCTATTAAAGCATCATATTTTATGAGCCATTCATCTATTTTGTGTACAAAAAGTCATATCTAAAGCTGTCCGATCAATGTAGTGGAGTAATCGTACAAAATTACACTCTTCAGTGTAAAGAGGCAGTAACAGAAAATACTCATGTAAAATACAAGTACCTCAAATTTATACTTAAGTACAGTTGTTGAGTAAATGTACTTAAATAGATTCCACTCTGGAGATTTCATACAGTTTTATAGATTCTTCAGCCTGTTTGCTTCTGCCAAACAAAACTCCTGGCTCAATAAGAGGAAGCTTTCAGCCTGAAAGTATTTCTGAGATATGCAGTGATTGTTTACACTATAACCTCTTTCCATTTAATTACCTTGCTCAGCATGCAGAACGTGTCGCCGCAGCCACAGGCGCTCAAACTCCTCTGGGCTGAGAGCCGGGGAGAGGGACAAACTGATGGGGGCTGTGACGCTGGAAGCCAGGACATCAGTGGAGGAGTCTGTACACTGAATGGCACTGTCTGAGCCTGGGGAGGACATGGGAGGACAAGGAGAGCAAGATGGGGAGGACACAGGGAGGGAAGAAGGGGAAGGAAGAGAGGGAGGGGAAGGATGCAACAGAAGGACAGAGAGTGAGGATAAGGTGGAAGGGAGAGAGAGGGTGGGGAGGGAGACAGACAGGTAGGATGAGTGCCAGAAGAAGAGATTAGTGATTGAAAAATGGTGCTGCAATCCCAGAAATGGACCCTAATCTTGGAAAACCAAAATTTTCTCAGTCTTAGTTTGACCTACTTACAGTGGACTGACTCTGAGTGACCTTTCTCAGTAGTACCACAGTGGAGACGAGGGAATTACAGTGGCTTCAGAAAGACATCTCTAAATATAATTCTTATAATATAATTTGATAGGGCTTCTACAGTTTTGTCCTCTAAAAGCTCTAAAAGGCCCCCACATCTTCTTAAAGATGTTTCCTTTAATCAGAAAGTGCAATAAACCATCAAGCTAGAGCTGTGGACATGCTCTATCAACTGATTCCCAAAACTTGGCTGTGATATGTATTGTATAATCAAGATAAGTAATTTTCTTATCTGTGTTGCGCAGGTTACAATACACAGGGCATATTCCAGAGATAGACAGATAAGGCAATACACTTCAGATAATATAAGATCTTAATAAAGTCACTATGTCAACGACCCATTAAAATGGTCCTTTTAATAAATGTATTAATTCTAGAGTATATAAGTGTTTCTTGCCTGTGCTTCTTCAGATTTTTGCAAATAAGAGACTCTGTATGTAAGAAAACATTAACACATTTTTACAATTCTAAAGGCTCCAGTCTTGTCAGACACCTCCAGCAGGTTGCGATTGCTTGTCCATGTCAAAACAATACAACACTAGCCAGTTTATCCGGTTGCAAAGTGACATTGGCAGCATTCCAGCAGTGAGACGAGAACCAACAGTGAGAAGCGTTATCTGTGTTACCAGTTAATTTTCTCCTGATTTCTCTGTATGAAAAATGTAATTATAGTGTCAGAATGTTTGGAAGATATGTGGCTTGTGAAAAATGTTTACTTTGGTGACAATGGGGCAAAAGAATTGGTCATAATCTGTGATCATGTTAACTTCTCCCATTGGGGTGAGGACGCCACAGACAAAGACACAGACACAAATGATTGTAAGTGCACTATCTCCTTTCTCAACTGTCTCTGGTAACATCAGTTACACAGAAATATCTACCATTAGCCACCATTAGCTACTGGTTATACCAAACCAAGTAAAACTGTATCATGTCCAATAAATATATTTTGCTGCATGAGAATACCAATTGTGTTTTAGAGATTTTTCAAGGATAATCAAGTTAAACAGGATGGACCTGAGCTCCGATGGGAATGCCACAGCATATTTAATACTTACTTCTTCTAAAAGCATGTTTTGCTTCGTAATTTTGGGTTACTGTGTGTCAAGGTTGTATGTACTGCATACTGACACATGATACCAGAATTTTAAAGTACTCAACATGTACACTTACAGTAACGCCACTATCATTTTTGGCTTGAGCACAAAGCTTCTCCTTTTCATTCTGGTCACACACTCATCAGCACTGACATTAGGTGAGGACTTCTGTTGCCGCAGAGAAAGTGCAGGACAAAAAAACTATTTATGAAAAACAGAAACATCAGATTGATAAGGAGCCAGTGAATCGGTGGAATGAAGATTAAAGAAACCGAAACATTATAGGCGTCATAAAAGTAGACTTTATGGAACAACGATTGCATTAGACTCTACAGCTTAAATTATAACATGGCCACTGAGTGTATGTGATAAACAGCAGGCTGTATCATTCACACCCAAGCAGTATGTTCAGAAAATCAACCATCATGCTATCAAAGGACACCCCAAACACAGTGGCTAAAACCATACAGTCAGTTACAGCCAATGAACAACTCAGAACCCACCTCAGCGTTGGACCAACACGCCTAAACACCAACACAAACACACTCATTTAATCAAACAACCAACAGCAATATCAACTAATTACATATAAGAAACACACTACAGTTGTTTACTTGCAAACAAAATCCGTTCTTCTTCTGAATGAAGCAGGTAATGACACGATCAAACAGAGACTCTTGGCTTTTAAACCAGAGAGCGTGGATTTAAAATGCAAGAATCTCTCTTTTGTGCCAGTGCTGGAAGCTTCGTATACCTGGTGTTTTTTTCTGGACCAACAATGGTTGCAGAACTTGCAGAACATGTTATGATTGGCTGCTGCCATAGCTAGCCCTAGTCCTAGCTGTGATTAGGCTACAGATGCAGTTTGCATTGTGGGGAAGCGTTTCCTGACCTGCTGATGTGTACTACTAACACCACAGCAGGAGCCTGGCCAATGATACCATCTTACCACAGGTAAAGTTACAGCTATAGCAAAAGACATTAGCCACAACCACAGAAATAATCATAGCTGCAGCCCCACCACAGAGATAGCCATAGCAACAGCGAAGGCCACGCCCCACTCAGGCTTAGGTTACAGCCAGTGGCCATGGATACAGTTGGAGCTCTGCTTTCCTCAGATCAAA